CCTCCCTTCCTCACTCACTCGTCCAGTGGACGCCCTTTGACTCTTCCTGCTCCTTTTCCCTCCCTGCTCAGTGAAGCCCAGTCCTGGTCCACGTCTAACCCCAGGTCTATAGCGGCTTCGACTCGGATCAACTCTTTCCTGCAGAAATAGGGGAGGCGGAGCCCAAAAGTGGAAAGAGTGCTTGCGCGGAGTAGGGTTATCAGCGGACCAAGCGTCTGAACGCTAGCTTTTGTCAATTAAATCTCCTTGGATGAGCGGTTGTCCTAGGGATCCGCAGTACAGAGTGTCGGAGGTCAGGGTGGAGGAGGAAAGTGGAGCCCGGAGGAGGAAAGTGGAGCCCGGAGAAGAAGGCTCTGAGCTTTGAGAGCCCGGGAGACTCATTCACCCGCGGGCGCTCTTCGGAGTAATGGGAACCCCCTACTCCCACCCCACATTCCTAGCTTAGCTCCACCTTAGCTCCGCCTTAGCTCCACGCCCGAAGTCTTTCGGAGGTGACGCCGGTGCTGGGGGGAAGGGGGGGGTTGCCGAAGAAGAGGTCGCAGGGAGCGCCCATGTGCTGTGACCCAGGGCCTAACATCTAAGAGTCTTGGAAACAGAGCTGCAGCTTTATCATCATTTAAAAACGGAACTGCGTGACGAAAAGCACGATCCACGTTTGTGTCTCAAGTCACAGCATTCTAAGCTTTACCAAACCTTAAAACCATCTTCATATACAGGCTTGGTTTTGTAACTCTTCTCTCGATTTTCCCCCCGTCTTCCCATCTAATGCTAATGAAACTAGTAATTCATCCACAATGTAACGCTTCTGTGTCAAAGGATTTGAAAATAACGTATATTATTACTGGTGATGGTTTGAACCCTGTAAAATGCAAAAATGTAACAAAAAATAAATATTATCCAGAGCATGTGTGTATCTGCGTGTGTGTGTGTGTGTGTGTGTGTGTGTGTGTGTGTAGACAGAGAGCGCGCGCAAGAGTTGTTTATTGTTTGGATTTTGCTTTAAAAAACGTCTAACTTTCTAACGTAGACATTTCACATTCTATTAAATACCTTGGAAATCTGTAGCTGTCTAATATTCCAGAATATCACTGCACCATAATTCAACACCTTATTGCTAGTTATAGGGAACTTTCAATTTCTTTCTACTTTTAGCTATCTTTGTATTGATCCTTATCAGAATCTTTTCTTAGGATGATGGCTAGGCTAGAAATAGCATAGCTGAATGAAAGTACATCAGTTTTTTAAAAGTTCTTGATGTGCATTACAGAATTGCTTTTCTTTCTTTTTCTTTTCTTTTTTTTTTTTGGTACCAGGGATCAAACTCTGGACCTTGCGCTTGCAAGGCAGGCGGCGGAACCATTGAGCTAAATCCTCCGCCCCAGAATTGTTTTTCTTGCCTGTGAAGTGTTTACGAAAGTGTGTTAATCAGGCAATAAACAGAGATAACATTAGTGATTAGATATGTAAAAATAAGAATTTAGAGAAAAATTCACATTCAATATTATAATTTTATGTTTAGAAAATGAAACATACCTGTTGTTTACATAATTGACACTGCAGAGATACAGCACCAAAAAAACTTTTTATCCGGTTGGGTTTTGTGAAGATAGAGGGGCACGGGTGTTTCAGTCTGGAGCTTCAGTTTTGGTTTGGCCTAGTGTTGAATGAGCTGCTGGTGAGATTTTTACATTTCTCCAAAATAAATAAAGAAACAGACAAATAAATGTTTTAAAAGAGTGAAAACACTGGGCCACATGTTCAACCTTGCTATAAGACAATATTTTTAAAAAATATTTATATCCTTTTACTAACAGGAATCACTGTTATATTAGAAAAATAATTGAGTTTAATTCCATCACATAGTTACTACTGATGAATTAACATGTAATTGTAGACCTGTAAAATATTATGGACATAGCAATAGACTACACTGGTCCTGCCTTTTCTTGTTCCTACCTTAGGATGACAATGGATATTTCAAAATTCAAGAGTTTTCAAAGAAGTAAGATGAGCATGAAATCTTAATTTCTGAAAGGGTTATTACTCATTTAGAACACATCATCAACTGAGATCACATACACATTGAGAATAACGGTTAATGCCAACTGCACAGTATTTACCTTGAAAGGACTCCATGTTGTAAAAGAATAAAAACTCATACAGTTCCTCAACAGTTATGAACAAATGAGTATTTGACTTCATAATGAATATATTACTATTTTGTAAACACACCAAAGTACGTATACTGCAAAACCAATTTCATGTACCCAGTATATCAAATATGTATAGATAAGAACTAGTTATGGAGCTGGTAATGTAGAGTGTGTGTGTGTGTGTGTGCACGCATGCGTGTGTGCGTGTGCACATGCTCACAGGCACATGTGTTGCTAGGAACTGAATCCAGGGCCTTGTGAAAGCTCTACCATTGAGCTACATCCCCAGCTCAATTTTGCTATACATATTTCCAATCAGATAAAAATAATACCTCAAAGTGAATGTATGCGCAGAAATGTTAAAAATATGTACCTTAATATTTGTGCTAATATTAGATAATTTATGCCTGTACTGTTTAAGTATTTGCACCTCTGAAGGAACTGTATGAGTCTCAAAATAATTATCACTATACATACCTAAATCAGTACAAAAGGTGTAGTTTATAAGTATGAAATATAAAGTAACATGTCACATAACTACCACTTCATATGTTTATATCATGTATGTAATTTCATATAGGAAGTTGGGAAATTGAACCTATTTTCAAGATATACATTCTATTCTATTTAAGCCACATGTCCTATCACCAAGTACTCGCAGAAAACCAGGCCTTTTTCATACTGCAAATAACTTTACACCTAATTCCTGAAATATGATTTACACCCAAATAACAAGAAATGAATAGTTACTTTCAACAAACCTATTTTTATATTTCCATTCTATACTACAAGTATACTATAAAATGAATACTTTCTCTAACTTAAAGTAGCCACAATACTTCTACACTCCTAAAATGGAAAACACATAATTACAGTATTTACAAGTATTAAAAGTTTCTACTTCCTAAACACAGATTTTCAGAAGCAACCTAATAATTTTATATAGAGCAATTTTAACTAGAGTAATAAAACAACTATTTGTATAGAGAATAATATTAACTGTATTCAAACTTATATCACAGTGGCTAAACTTTGCTGATATGGTAAACCACTATTAAGGAAAATAAAACACCTTCATTTTTTTTTTTTTTGAAGCAGAGTCTCACTATGTAGTCCAGGCTGGCCTCCAGTTTGATGTGTAGCCCAGACAGGCCTGGAACTCCTGATTGTCCTGTCTTCGTTTCTCAAGTGCTAGGATTATAGGCATTCACCACTATATTTGTGAATATTTAAAAATCAAATCTAGCAACAAGCCATGAGATCCTTTATAAACTCCTTGTACTTATTAAAAAATTTTCATAAAATATGAAAATGAAAAATAAAATGTGCATTTATCCTACAAATTGTACTTTTTTTTTTGGAGACAGGGTCTCCCTATGTAGTTTGGGGTGGCCTTGAAGTCATTATGGAGCAGAGGCTGCCTTCGAACTAGCAGCAATCCTTCCGTCTCAGTCTCCCAAGTGCTGAGATTACAGACCTGCCACCATGCTGGGCACATGTAAGAAGACAAAAATCTAAACCTGGTGTGTTGGCCAGAGCCTGTTGTTCCCGAACTCAGGGAGCCAGAGGCAGAGGAAGTAAAAATTTAAGCCCAGCCTGGGTAATTTAGGGACTTCGTGAGATTCCCGTCTCAAAATAAAAACAAAATTTCAAAAAGGCTGGGGATGTAGCTCAGTGAAGGTCCAGGCCCCCCCCCCCCCCTGTGTGTGTGTGTGTGTGTGTGTGTGTGTGTGTGTATGGGGGCCACTTACATTTCCTTCTCAAAAAGATTAAATCTGCAATAAAAAAAAATCCACCCTCAACTGGCCTTTGCTTCTTGGAGTTATGTATTTCAAGGGTCTTGAAGCCTCGGGAAGGTCAAAACAATGAAACCTCACTAAATTATTTTTAGACTTACCATCCAAGTTTTAATTAAAATTTTGCACATTATAGCATTATATTTTTTCAATTTTCCAGCTCATAGGACAGTACACTGATTGAGCGAAGACTTAGCCCCTATGAGGACAAAACTACCACCGATCTCAATTTTCAAGAAGTAGGCCTCATTTATAAACTATGTTAATTGTGGTCTGAGGTGACTAAAATATGATCCGTTGTGATTCTTCAGGGACATCACTGTAGTTCTATGGTCTGCTAAACATAGGAGCATTATTCTGAGCATTTTCAATCACTGAGGCCACGAAGTAAGAAACTTCAACTCTTCACGAAAACTCATTCTTTTTACTGGCTGCAAAATTTCCCAGAAACAAGGGTTTGCTCTTTGTAGCAGTTACTGATCCCTCGATTCAATGCTAGTATTCCAGGAAGTCATACTAATTGGTGTCCGCACTCTGCACTCTCCTGTCCTCCTCTACCCGCCTCACCAGGCTGGGGAAGACTAAAAAGGGGGGCTTAGAAAACTAACATGGATAGTAGTAATTTCCCCCAGCGCGAAATAAAGTGCTCTAAAAAGACACTCTGTGTGTGTGTGTGTGTGTGTGTGTGTGTGTGTGTGTGTGTGTGTACACGGGCAGGGAGTACCAGCCGACTTCCACTGAGGAAATTGTACAGCCACTGTTTCCAAACTTCTAAGGTGGGTTGAGAAGGTCTGGGATCCACTTAAGAGTTTCACAGGACTGTAGAGGTTTGCGAAGGGGGCTCCCGACTCAATGTATTGGAAGATTCACATCCCTTCAAGTAACTTTAACTCGATGGGGGAAAACTGCACCCCTCCAACCTCACCCTTTATAACCTTCTCCTGCTAGCCTCGCCCCCCCAAAAGATAACGATCTGTTTGTGCATTAAATCAAACCAAATGAAACCGTCCAAGCGTCCTTAAGCCCGGAACATTTGAGAGCCTGTTCCTACCTGGTCTTCTAGGATACGGCTGCTGCCCTCTCCGGTGTCTCCACACTAGCATCAGCAAGAGGGCCTCCACGGCCCGAGCACACGGAGCTGCACACTCTCCTGCCTGCCGTGGGATCTGCACCACGAAAGCCCGCACACACGATGGGCCGCTCGCTCGCCGAATCCGGACGGTTACCAAGAACCTGCGGACCCTGCGCACCATGCTGTTTCGGCGGCCGCGCCGCGAAGCTGCGCCGAGCTGCGCCGCCGCGCCGCCCTTTGGCACCGGAGGTAAGCAGCGCCGCCCCCGTCCCCAGAGTGCGGACCAGGACCACGCACCGCCCCTCGCCCCCCTTCGCCCTGCAGGCGCGCACACGCGCCCCGAGCGCCGTTCTTCCCGACCCACCGCCCAAGATGTCAGGACCGTTCAGTGCCCAGCGCTTGCGGGACAGGCTGTGGAGGGTCGTGGACGGAGGCGTGCGCCAGGACGGCTGGCGACCTAGGTTCCTCTCGCTCCGGCCTACCACCTTCTTCCCGCCTTATTCGCACCCCCCGCCCCCTCCTCCCCACCCTGAGCGCGGGCGCCCCACACGGTGGCAGCCCCGTGGCCTGCGCCGGAACGCATCTCTGGCAGCCCGCCCCCTGGCAACATCCGTCACCTGACTCGGCACTACCGGGATCCACGGCGCTCCGCCCGCCGGTCCGGGTGCTTCTCGCGTCCCTGCTCCCGTCCCCCGTCCTTATTCTTCGCGCCCCTTGACACGAGTCTTCCCGGTCTCCACATAAGATTATTTAAAAGAGAAAAAGAAAGAAAGAAGAACGAGGCCCTCTCTTTGCTCTATCCGCCAATCAGGAGCTGGACGTCAGTTTTGAATGAAAATGCCGCTCCGCTTTGCTTCTAGATTTGGGAAACAAGCGATATGAAAAGAAACCGCTGTCCGCAACGGACGCGACATCTGGACACTGCAAGGCGCTGGCGCGGCTGGCGCGGCAGGCCGGGCGCCAGACCAGGTAGGTGGAGACCAACCCGGCCAAGGGTGGGGGATCCCGGCAGGGTCTGGCGTCCCTTCCTCTGCCAGTTCCCGGTCGCCGAATTTGTGGGCTGAGTCGAGAACTGAGTCCGCTTCATCTAGGCAGTTTTTTATTTTCGGTTTTAATTGCGAGACACAGCTGAGCATCTGAGCGCTTCTTCCTCTTTCCTCCTCCCTGCGCTCTCCTCCCCCTCGGCTGCTCCCCGCCTCTCCCGGGCTCCAGGCGCGGAGCTCAGCGGTCTGCGGCGCCCGGCCACCCTTCCCCCTCGCCACCCGACTATTCGGCGCGCTCGCTCCCCTCCGCCTCCCTCGGCCCTCTCTTTTCTTCCACATCAGTGATCCCTTCTTTCTAGAGACACTCCCTCTCTCCTCCCCCGCCGTGGTCCACTCGGAACAGGAAAAGCGGGGGAAGGAAAGGAAGGAGCAGCGAAAGGAGGGGGTGAGTCGAGGATACCGAGACGGCCTGGGAACGCGAGAAGCCGCAGCGCGTGTGGCAAGTCTCTGCTCTGGGTCTAGGGCTCTGACGCCGGCTCGGGGACTCTGAAAGCTGGAAGTCGAGCTCCGGACACCGCTTTCAGGTGCGCGGCGCTGACCCGGTGCCCAGACCTCCCGGGCCCGCGGTCTGCCTCGCTCTGTCCAGAATCTGGTCCGCTAGAGCTGCGGCCGTGCTCAAGATGTGGAACTGGGCCCAGCTTTCGGAATCTGGAAATTTGGCCCTTCTCGCACTGGCTTCCCATTCTTGTGCTCGGGCCTAGTGGCCTGGCTGCAGAAGTGGAACCACTTCCACTTCAGGGTGAGAGTCGGCAGGTCCTTATTTATCAGTCATCAGCTCCCCCCCCCCCCCCCCGCTTACGGAGGAGGAAAGTGAGGTTTGGATCAGCCAGGCCACCCACCTAAGGCTCTGCTGTATGTAACTGAGAGGCCAGGCGGAGCAGCAGGCAGTGTCTTCTTTACCATCCCCCGCCGCGTCACGTGACGTTGCTGCCACCTAGGTCAAAACGCAGGACAGGAGAGGAACGGTTGGATCAAGTGAGATTCAGCAATCATTTTTAAATTGCTACTTTGACTAAATTTCTGTCTGGATTTTACGAGTGCACCTGTTGGGGAAGATTGACTGAGAATTTACTGAACACTGTAGTCGTCATTATTATGGGATGAACTTTTTTTTCCTTTATTTTTTTCCCCACAAGGGTGTCTTCTTGAGGCTTCTCCACACAACCAACATACCAGGCCATTGTTTTCCTTATAGCACTTAGCCTTCAGAAATGACTTTAAATATTTGTTTACATGTCCGTGGCTTCTGTGTCTACGGTAGAATGTAAGCTTCATGAGAACCAGATCCTGCTGTCTTGGTCTGCATCTGTGACACCCTTTCCCCCAAAGAACCTCATGGTAGAGAGGGACTCCTGCAAAACTACAATATAATGAGGGAATGTGGTTTTCTGTGCCTCAGAGGTGCGGGAAGGGTAGTTTGGAGGAAGGGTAGTTTGGAGAAAGAATACTGGAGGAAAAACCGCTGCTGGATATCAGCACAGAGTTTAAGGATGCTAGTTTCCCTGGGCGCAGACTGGTGGGGAGGGGAGAGAAGGTCCTTATTCATTTCTTACAGTTATTTATGGTAGTCAGAGTTCTGCAGGGAAACAACCAATAGGGCCTCTCCTATCTATATATATTTATGATATACAGATACATAATATATACACATGTATATATGGAGAATATGCAATGCTTTAATAATTTGGCTCAGGAGATGGTAGGGGTTGGCAAGTAGGTAGTTTGTAGGGCAGCTTCACAGGCTGGAGACATTGAGAAGAAGGAGTGTTGCAGTTTGGTGCCTGAAGATGTTCTAGAGGGAAGATTCAGGCTTCCTGGAGGGACTTCAGTCTTTTCTCTTAAACCTTTCAACGGACTGGTTGAGGCTCATTCACTTTATGAAGGGCAATTGCTGTTAAATGCTAATCACATCTAAAAGATACCATTACAGGATCTTTTATACTGGTGTTTTATCCAAAGAACTGAGCACCATAGTCTAGCCAAGTTGACATATAAAATTAACCATCACATTGTCCCACCACATTTGTGGGATCTTCTGAACCTTAATCTCCCAGCAAAATTTTAATGCAGGGATCTGTATGTATTTACTGGATCTGTACAGCCTAAATTATAACCATTTTCTCTCTATGGCAATTTGTCCTGAGGATAAGGTAGTTGCCTACTTCAGAGGAATGTCATTTGTGTAAGAAGATGATTATGGAGCAGGCTTTGCTCAAAAAATGTCATTTTAAAATTTTGAACTTTTAAATTTCATCTTGGTTTTCTCTGCATAGCACCTGCTCTCTATCAGTTGTAGTATACAGGAAAATTCTAATTTTAATATTAGTCTAAGCAAAATATAATTAAGAAAGTGATTCACTAGGAAAACAACTAATATGTAGTATCCCAAAGAGATCATCAGAATTCCTAATGACTTATAGCTATGTGCTCTTTAAAAAATTAATGATGAAGAACTGAAAAGTACTATATGCATTTTCACTTTACTTATTTTATTTTCTTAGTGGCTCTTTCAATTTGGGATTATTTCCCATATTTTCCAGGTGAGAAGACTGAGGCCCAGAAAGACTCAAAACTTGGACACTACATGGCCAGCAGGTACTGCCAGGGTTGGAATCATCAGTCAGGTCTTCAGACTACAAGCTTTGTCCTCTTTCTGTTGTCCAAGGCCAATACCAATAGGAAGTGAGTTATCACTTATGAAGTCAAGACTCACTGAATATTGGAGCATTTCTTTGGCCTCTTCCATTGGCCTAAAAAACTAGTTGCCAGCTTTCTGAGTCTTTTAATAAAGGAAAACAATGTTTAGTTTTAGATCAGCAAATTAATCCTATTGGCAGAGGTTAAGGGGGAAACCTTACTGAATATCCCTGTCTTGTCTTCCTCCCACATAACGTCCTAGAATGCTAAATTTATCCCTTAGGTAACTCTTGATTATCAAAATTCTGTCAGGGCCAGGGATTTAGCTCAGTGGTTCTGGTGCCTGCCTTGCAAGCGCAAGGTCCTGAGTTCGATTCCTGGTACCAAAAAAACCAACCCCCCCCCAAAAATTCTATGAGAAGCGTTCATAAAAGTGCACATTTTCAAAACCCAAAGGCATATGACAAAAGATATTATAAACAAGACTTAAAAACAATTATTTGAATGACAAAAGATTGATTTCTAGAATATATAAATAAACACATAAGCCAGTAAAAAAAAAAACCCAGCAGAGAAATGGGCAAAGAATAAAATGGGCAGTTTATGGTATATACAAATAGTCAAAAAATAAATGAAAAGATATTGAATATTATTCATTAGTAAAGAAATGCAAGCAGAAACAATGTTATGTAATACTACAAGTATGGCAGAAAGAGTGGCAAAGCTGTCAGGAGATAGTCATTCCTACACACTTATAATTCATGTAATTACTTTGAAAGGTAACTACAATACTTATCAAAATTGTACATATATGTCATGTATGTGTTCTCATACTCAGGTGTTTAACTCTTATTCATATAAGTTTGCAAAGATACCAAGTAATGTATGGAAAAATATGCACACACAAATAATACACACTATATATATATACACACACACACTGTATTTGTAGAATTTATATGCATGGAAAGAAATGTATTGTATATGTATGTATATACAAATATATACATATACCATTGACTCAGCAATTCCATTAACAATTCAAGTATATATGAAAAATATGTATTATATATGTGTACACAGACATCTGTGCTTTAGAAAGCGGTATATACGCAGATTCTAATGCAGATTGTAAACATTCATATGTATATATAGTTGTCTCCATTAGATGCAACAATTTTACTTTTATTGCTACAAGAGCTCATATAAGTATGTAGAAAAATATGTTGGGTGTGGTGGCACATGCCTGTAATCCCAGCACTCTGAGAGGCTGAGGCAGAGGCAAGTTGGTGACTTAGCCAAAATCAGTCTCAAAATTAAAAATTAAAAAGGATGAGCTCAGTGCAAAGTCCCTGCGTTCAATCTCCAGTACTGAAAAAAAAAAGATTCCTTATGATGGTATATTGTATCACAAAATGCAAGAAAGTAAAAAGGAATATTGGACATACTTGTAATAGTTTTTTAAAAAATTAAGACTCATTCATAAAATATGAAACTATGC